GTTTGCATTCCACTTACAGTAGACATAAGCTTAGCATGTGGATGCATAATTTCATGGCTTCAATGCCGTATGCCCCTCTCAACCCGGGCAACAGAAGTCCAGAGCCCTTCTAGATTTGCTAATGAATACATGAAAATAAATTACACTAAATACTTGAGGAACAATTAACTATTTAACATTACATTAAATCAGACTTAGCTGGTTGCCAAGCGGCTATATTGTGATCACATGACTGCAGGGGCATTGTGATGGTCAGACTTTGGGTACCGGTCGTCCGTCACTTTTTAGGACCATCGTAAATTTGAATAGTTGCTAAATTAATGGTCGTTAAGCAAGAACTACCTGTGTGTATATATAAAGATGCTATGGATTCACACCATTTTCTAATGGGAAAGAAATGATAACTGTGTAAGCCCTAAAATGGCTTCCCTCTTGAAACAGGACCCCACCCCCAAAAGGAAACCCCCCATCCTGTCCATTGTACCATGCAGTGCTACTCACGTTTGCATTTTGACCGCACTTCCTTTGCTTCCTCCCATCCAAAGATGACCCCGGCAACCAAAATGTTGTGTAGATGTACTAATGTCTTAATTCTATGTATTTCTAAAGACAGGGCATAGGACCAAATGAACATTCATAGAAAGGTGCTGCATCAGCAATGCAATGTGGGGTTCTAACGTGGATTAAAAAAAAAAAAAAAGCTATATACAGAATGGAAAAAGAGTATATTTCTCATTAACAACTCATTCACAAACCAGCAGCTTCCTGACTTTTGGGTTGGCTTCTCTTTTATTACAATAGGTATCAACCAATTGATTGATGAAATGAAAGCCCGCCACAATGCACAATGCTCTATCCAGAGACATCAGACTTAGGATCAGACAATTTTCTTCAAGTGAAATCAGGTGAAAATAACCCAAAAACAAAAAAGCTAAAACCCAGGTTAGAAAAGACATGGCTTTCATGTTATACATAAGGAATAAATAAATAACCCCCCACTGACTGAAATAATTATGGAGCACTTATAAAGGCAAATCTCTATAGGTCTATGGTAAACATGCAAATCTACCGAACAAGCAACGTAAGATTAATTATAGTTGCCATTGCTGAATTAACATCTCAAAACGGTTTAGACAGCTTTTTCTCCTGTATGGCAAAACACATTAACCAAATTTTACAACACTTTGATTTAAACTCAGAAAACGCCCACTTAGTGGTTGACTTCTAAAGCCTGAATAAAAATAATGAAGACAAACGGGAGGCATTGGAGTTGGCACAGAGTCAAATGAAGCAATATCCATGTTGCTACCTAAGACTAAGCAGAAATCCTTTTGTCCACAGGTGCCTTGAGTGAGTGTCTGTCAGACGTGAAGCTAGAAAAGAAGACGTGGGACTCAAAACTGTGGTGTCGGTTATTTTGTGCGCAACCCCAAGCTTCTGCTTCTCTTTGTGCTGAACTATTGTGGCTGCTAAACTCCAGCTTAGGTAGTCCCAACTTGTGGGCAGTTCATGATGCTAGGCAGTGCGGGTGATGCAACATGATGATGAAAGTCTGCTCTGTGCCATACAGCTTCTTCATTCAGTAGCCTAAACCGGGAAGGATGCGAAGCCTCCAAGGATATGAGAAGCTGGGTCTCAAGGCAGGCCAGCATGACAGGCAGCAGCTCTTTGGAATGTCGCCCTTTAGAGATTCCAGCCCCCCGGGAGATGGATGAACATACCGGCTTTCAGTATGCAATGGCAGCTGTGTTTGCTTCAGTGACCTTGGGTCACAGGGCGTGATGTTAGTCCATCAGGACAAGGGGCAGGAGAGAATCTAGGAGAGGGAAAGAAAGACTAGTAGTCCCAGGCACTCCACTTGGGTGGTGGGATGGCACAATGAAGAGCTGCAGCAACACAGGGCCAACTGCATCATTGCCCATGACAGGCAATGAAGCCACTGCTTGCGGACAGCAGGAATGGGGCTCTTAGTGCTCTGCCCCAGTTCCAGGGTGGGCACCCAGATGCATGATGAATCACGTGGCTGCTCAAAAACACGGGACAATGAAAGGCTATTGGAATTCAGATGTGAGCATAACCACTCAGCTGAAGTCATGCGCAGTAAGCCACCCAATCTAGCACCACACAGACATTGGTCTGCTTTGCAAACTGTTCTCATTTTGGATCTGGCACCATCCAGTGTTGGCTTTGGCTGTGTCCATTGCTGGAATACAAATCCCCATAAGTTTTGATAGGGATAAGATATGGGACAAGTCACTTTGTATAGGCTGCACTAACACAACACACATAACCTTGTTCATGAATGAACCCCTTTTTGAATTTACACAGTATATGGATCCATAATCTAATCAAGTGGGTTGGTGTCACCTAACTAATTCACAAAGAAATTAACAAAGGTTAATGCCAGCAAGCTTAACAAGCATGAATACAACTGCTAGATCTTTCACTGACCTGGTTAAGCATGTTGCGACTGCCTATTAAGTTCAAATCCAATTTGCACGGTCAGAAATGTCATCGTTATTGGTGACCAGCAGAATTTCCTCTTGATCAGCAGATTTCTTCTCTGCTCTTCTTAGCTGATCATATGCTTACCACCACAAAAGAGGTGACACTTTCATCCAATTAATACAGAACTGTGGAACAGCCTTTCCCATAAGCACAATAGATTTTTCCAGGTGCTTATCACTTCAAAATAACACTGGAATCTTGAAACTTTCTGGGGGGAATGGAGTGAGGGATACAGCATTGGCCAGCAATTTGAACATTTGCAAAATGAAGCCATGTTTGCCTGGCACAGATGAATAGTTTTTATCAACCTTCTGAGTTGCACGTGTGTGTGTGTGTGCATGTATGTTTCTTTCTCTTCAAAAGAGATAAAAAAGTAGGAAAGATCTCACTCTAATACTTGCTAAGTAATACCCATCACCTCCACTAGCACTATGACAGCAAAGTACGTAAATTATCAAAAGCAATGTACAGAAAATTACAAATTCATTTCAAAATACATCACACTGCTATAACCGAGATA